AGGGAGAGAGAGAAGGAGGGAGGGAGGCGGTCGGAAAGAGCCGTTGCGCCCCGCAGGGAACGGGGCCTGCGGCGCACCGGCGTTTTCCCGGCTCTTGACGCCTGTGGTGCCGCCTGTCGAGGCAGCTTTATAAGAAAATAACAACCCGTGGCATTAACGTATTAAATCCCGCGATCTCGCTTTACACGGCAGAGCACGGCAGCTGAGAGCGTCTTACATAGGAGAGGCTTGGCTGTGGGGAATAAATACACGCGACTAGGGGAGATTAAGCCCTGAGCAGTATATTACGCTTCACTGCCTGCAACGCTGAAATTCTTGGGATGTCTGGAAATAGAATAACCAGGCTCCGAAGGGGCTGTTTGAACCGTGAAAAAAATCTGCCCGGCCTCTCCCTACTCTTTCCGTGGATAACCGCGTTTTAGCAACATTTGGCTGAGATTTTGCTACTGTTAAATCTGTGTATGTCTGTTAGCTCAATATAAGTGCCTGGAAAGACTGGTGTGTGCTGTGAAGGCACTGCTTGCTGTTAGCGCGAATAAGCAGGGCAATAGTTGCAAATTAACAGCTGGTTGAGAATATGTTAAAAAAGTCAGCTGCACCTTTTTTTTGTTTCCCCTTCCTGGAGACTAGATTCAGTGGCTATATTTGTCGGGGCAGTGAAAATGAGTAAGAGTACAAGGGGAATATTAGGCAATAATATTTGTAGAAACCCACTTTTGGAGATAGTAAGTTGCAGAATCATTTCTTTTGTCTGAACTTCTCTAATGTTACTTACTAATATTCCAAGATCAACTTAACAAAAGCAGGTTGCAAATAAGATACCTATTTCAGATAATTATAATGAAGTTCAGCTGCTTTTGAGGTTCTTGTTTGTATGTGTGGAGGACTGTATGTAACTACACAGGATGGCATTTTCAAAAGACCACTTTCCAGTGTGGCTAGTTGTCTTTTGTTTCTCTATTACATTTCAGTGGAAGACATGCTAAAATGCCTGCTAGTACATTAGTAGAGAATTTATAATAAACTAATGCTGACAGTTACCATAATAGGACCTTTTTTTAGTTTAAACTGTTTAGAACTAAACAGCAGGATCAGATTGTTATGTAGTGTCCTTTAAAAAGTAAATCCAGGGCATCTGACATATAGTGTGTTGAAAATTGAATCTGGATGCATGTTCACCTGAAAATAATTTTTAGTAAACTTGGTTATGCCCAGCAACTACAATTCAGACAGCAGTTGTTTATCCATAAGTTTAGAGACCTGTCGTTTATCTCCTCTTAGCAGTGTGTTCGAACTGGGTAAGCTTTCTCTTTTTATAAAGAAAAACTCTGCAGAAAAAACTCGGGTCAAATCTCTGGGTTTTGGCTGTAGTGAGAGTTGGAGCTGTAAGTGAGCAGTGTCACAACTGATATATTCTGTTTTCATAGGCTCTTGAGGCAATAGGCTGCTGAATTTTGATCCCGCCCAGAATACTTGAGTTTTTCTCAGCAAGGATATAAAATAGCGGTAAGTTCTAGAAACGGGCACTTTGTGCTTTTTCCCTTTAGCATAATGTACTGTTTGCCTTTTTGCAAAATAGACGTCAAGGCCTTTTTCTTCAACAGATTTTGGCTGCCCACCTAAGAAAAAAAGGCAATGGAGACTGAACAACAGGAAGAAACCTTTACCAACACAGAGACAAATGGTAAATTTTTTAAAGGACTATATGTTTTTAGAGAGAACCTGTTTAAATGCTAGTGTTTCTAGATATTTTACAATGTATCGAATGTTTGTATGAGCAGTAGTTTTGTATTTTGCAACAAGTCTTTCCATTTTTAATTACACACCCCCTTGAAGGTGGCATGGCTTGGACATGGGATAAATACCTGAAAGTTATACCTAAGGATTTGAAAATATTTCATATAGTTAAATATTCAGTATTTTTGTAGAGAATGTGAATATGAAAGAATACTATCAGGCATATCCATTAATTGCATTTTATTTATTACAATTTTTACATGTAGGAGTAGAAATGTGGGAAATACCTCTAAAGAACTTAATGAAAAGCTTCTTAGGCGTAATTAGTGAGAAAGTTGGGGTATTAGTTGTTGTTGATTTCTGCCAGTTCTTTCCAAACAGTGTTTGAAGTGCTGCTTTACTGTTATTCCACAAGTATTTCACTGTTGGACAAACTACATTTCAGCTTTTTGCCTGAAAAGTTTTTCCCAGTTGTAAATAATGCTGAATTTAAACAGCTTGTCATGAATTTCTCACTGGCTCTGTGCAACATTCTCATTTAAACCATTGCTCATATATCTTAAATGGGTTTTCAGTAGTTGATACGTAAGCTGAAAAAGTAAAGACCTGTTTCAGTGCCATGGACGCTCAGAGTAGACATCAGTAATTAGTGTTGGGCTTATAGGAAAGAATGTATTAAGAACACAGAGCATAACTTTAGTGTGTATTCCATTTTGATACAACTTGGAAAGTTAAATAAGTGTTTGTGTTTCCTCCCTATGGACCTCTCTACAGGCAAACGTCCTGCAGAAGATATGGAGGAAGAGCAGGCCTTCAAAAGATCTCGGAACACAGATGAGATGGTTGAATTGCGCATTCTGCTTCAGAGCAAAGTATGCTTTTTTGGTTTTCCAGGTTTTTCCTGAAACATTGCTCAAGAGAGTGGTGACGAAATGTGTGTTGGGTTATATGTTCAGAAAGAATATGTACTTTATAATATAACAGGAATAATTTTAAGTGTGTGTGAATGGTACTAAAAATGTATTGGAATAGAATTACTTTAATTGGTTCTTTTAAAGGGTAAGTCTGGAAGGATCAGTACAGTTACTCTTAAAAGATGTACTTGCTGAAGAAATAAAACAATAGAAATTATAAGTTGCAAGGTGTTTTTACCTTTGAGTGGAAGGTTGTTATTTTGAGGGGAACGACTGCATATTAGTCTTTGGAAAGGAAGCAATTCGGGGAATGATCAGCTAGGGGCTTAAGTATGAGAAATGAGAATTTTCTTAAAATTTTTGTAACTCTCCCAAGCAGGTCTGCTGAACTTGTTCAAATACAGCCACAGGAAGAAATGTGGGAGTAATCCTTCAGGGATTGCAATGTTTTCATTGATGACTGTAACTAGTTACAGTAAAGTTACTATATATAAATTTCCTCTGATGTTTCCAGTTGTTACAGTTGTTACAGTTGTCTTTGGTGTGGGGGTATGTTACCTTAGCTCTGCATGGCATTTCTAGCCAATAGTCTACTTAGATGGGTTACTGCAACATATTTTTCATGCTGTTGGCATAATATATGATCTGTGTAGTAAAAGCAATACTTACGTATGTAATTCTTGAAATAACCTGGTAAAAATAGTTTTGCAATTAGTTTTCTTGACTGTTGGTCAGTTTATTCCTGTTGATGTTAAAATTTTGAAATTAGTGGCTGTTAACATTCACTTTAGGCTTTCTCAGAATATGCTGCTCTGAGCAGTCAGTCAAGGTAGAGATATAAACTAAAATTAGCACTTGAAACTATCAGGTAGTACTTGGAGTGCAGAAGTGGAATTTGCAAATACTTTCTTAAAAATAGAGAAAAATTGACCAAATAAATTGGGGAAATCATTGACCCTATGTCACATTCATACAGTATATTTTTGAGAGCTGTGATCTATGAGATTACTTTAACACAGGCAGACTTGCCTAGAAACTTTGGTTTGGAATTGAAATACTGGTTGCAAAACCGAATATCCTTCTCTTTCCTAAGCACTGGTAAGGGCACTTGATAATTTTTTCAGTGGACAAACTGTATCAGTTTGTTTCAGTTTGATTTGAACCTTTCAGGAGCAGTTACTGCCTGTCTCCTGACCCTCTTGGGCGAATAGGGTAATGCAAAACCAGATCTACCATTCTTAGCCTTGAGTTCAAAAATGTAGTCTGTGCTGTGTTGGCATAATATAACTTCTGAAAACTATTTTCCAGAATGCTGGAGCAGTCATTGGAAAAGGTGGCAAAAATATTAAGGCACTTCGTACAGACGTGAGTATATATGAGTTTGAACTAATTTAACACCATTTCTTTCAGAGCACTACATCGAAAGCTTGATTGCGTGCTTTTCTAGAAATGGGAGCAATTCAACTCTATACATCAATAGTCTAGTTAAAAGCTATTTTATTGATCGTTAGAGTAGATAACTTAGTTCTTCAATTTCTTTTCTAATTAAAATCCAGCTTCACTCACATGGGAGAAGAGGCTTATATTAAATCTCTTCACTTTTGAATAGGATTCCACTAAATTACACACTTCGAGTGAGTTAACATCCTAATTAAAAATATTGACAAAGCTTAAACCCCTTAATTGTACCATTTCCCATATGTGTGAATCAATTATAATACTACTGAAACTATTGCAGGTGGCTGGCTTAACCCAGTGATGGAGAAATTCTTTAATTTCCTTTAAAAAAAGGAAACAAATAAAATAGTCCATCTGTTCTTTAGCAGCTTGCACACAAGGCTCAAAAGCATTGATGTTAAGGTTGCTCGATTTAAATATGGATATAGACTGGTAAAGGAACATTCTACTCCGTTACTTGGCAGCATTTTCAAGTGGTCATGACTTACATGCCTATTCACATTTTACAGTGGGTTGACTCTTGTGATTAGACACATGCTCAGCATTAATGTTGTATATTTATAAAACTTGGCAACGCTTCTTGAAGTCCATTTGTTTACACTCCTGTACTCGACATCAGCTACAATTTCAACAGTTTTTCTGACCAAGACTCTGTGCAGCGCAAGATTTGGCAGTCTGTCATTACAAATCAGTTCCAACTAAGTTCATAAACTACCACTACTAGAATTGAGGCTTAAGTTGAAGTGATAAGGAATCATACATAAGCTCACTAACTCTGGCAGCTAGTTGTTGCTTTTTTTTTCCCTAGGGTGTTTTTTGTGGTTTTTTTTGTTCTGTTTTCTTCAAATCAATACGCCATCTAAGTCCAGATAATTTAGACTGGGCTGGAGAACTAACTTCCCAATTTGCCCAACGCTCTAGTAATATCAGTCTTGACAGATTTTGTGTCTACCCTCAGGAGCCAGCCTGCTACTGAAACATCTTACATTAAAAATAAAAAGTAGTTTAGTCAGATCAAGTGACTCATTTTTAAAGGTCCATACTGTTAAGCCACAGTTGGTGTAGCAATCCGTTATTGTGTTAGTCTTCAGAACAACTTAAGCTTGTTTCATTAATTGAGAGTAATGAGTATAGTTTGTATTAAATTAAAATTTATTGCTTTTCCCCCTTTTCCCTCTCCTTGTTTTTTTGGCCATATATCTCCGTTGCCCATGTACTGGATCGACTTGCCCCTGCGTTGCCCACCATGACGTTGGCCCATCCGCCCCTGAACGCCCATGTGAAAACCCTGGTTGGCTATGCCCAAAAATGTGCTCGTTGCCAAACGGGTACCATACTTGACAACTTCTGATTGAATGCCCATGCCCAATGCCAACATCCACGAACGCCAATGACCAATGCAGTACAATGCCAGTGTTTCAGTCCCAGACAGCAGTGGCCCCGAGCGGTATGTCCCAACAGTTTATGCCTCACTGCCTGATTAGAAAGAGAGAAATGTATTTTATTACCTGCCTTTGATATAATTAAATAGTATCCCCTTATAGACGGTGTATTGTTTTTTTCAAGTTTTCTGTCTTATTTTCCCCATTAAGTCTTTTTGTCACTGAACTTTTACGTGAGTTGCCCACCCAAACAATCCACTAATTTTATTTCAATGGAAGGAGCACAGCTTCAAGTGTTGCATATTTGCTGCATTGTAAATCAAATTGTTTCAAAGTAGTCTCTCGCTCTGTTTTTGTGGCCCACCTTGCTCCCCTCAACATTGCCTGTTCATAATTATTTCTGATGAAATGCTAACTCTGGTTCACTTTCCTTCACTTCTCATTTGTTTTGTCGGTTTTTTTTTTGTCTTGCATTTGTATTTGTTTTCATGGAGAGCCCATTAGTAATCTGATTTCTAACTGGTCTCATAACCTTACTCCAAATATGATGTTCACCACTTGCATATCCCTGCTTTTCTATGAGAAGGTGTGCCAGTTTTGCCAATGTATAGCGAGGATATACTAAATTAGTGGTGGCGGGGAACATGAATATTCACTTCTACTTTCAGTTCTGCATCAATTTCTTGCCCACTTAATCTGAGCCCTTCCAAAAGTCCATTCTGTCTTTCTTTCTCTCTCTCTGCAAGACCTACCTAATCTTAAATTTATCATGCATATATATTGGGCATAAACAAAGATGCATGTGTTGTAAATGGAGCAAACAGGTTTACTTTAAATGGGGAGTATTATTTCTCAGCTCTTCTGTGTAGTGAGTCTTGTTAGAATTTTGTATATGATGATGAAAAGAATTTACTTCTACTTCTTCTTTTCTGCCTTGTCCATATTGTCTGGCATTATGGCTTCCAACAGCATCCTGAGTATAAGTGCAGATATAGAGACAATTGGAGAAATCTTGAAGAAGATTATCCCTACTTTAGAAGAGGTATGTCTCTTTAACATTTCTTTCTAGAGCTGAAATACTAGATTTTGAAACAAGATGGATCTAGATGATTTGTTGCTTTATAGGTACAGGAAATCAGAAAATAAAATAGAAAAGCTTTTTAAATAAGAGTTATGGCTCTCAAACCACATGTTGGCATATTTTTGGTAGAGGACAGAGTCAGTCACTGTTTAATAAATTTAATGTTTTCAACAGCCTCCTCCCTTTCAAAATAATTTGCCTCCTTCCTTGATTTGTGCCAATTTTGATGTAGTTGCACTGTAATTTGTATCCTGGCGTTGGTTTTGTAAGAGTGTTGCACTGTTTGATATCTTCTTAAATCTTTATAATGTAATCTTTGTGCAATGTAATGTAATAAATAAGGAAAACTGGTATGAGACCAGGTTATGTTGGAAGTGAGGTGCTTGAGTAGCTGTGATCCTATCAAAGGGAATACAGAGTTAAAATACAGCAATAAATCAAGTAATACTATGACGTTTAGAGAACAAACTTAAGAAAACTCAAAATACTTCATTTTTTTGTGACTAATATTTTGTTTTCCCTATATGCATCTTTCTTACAGTATCAACACTACAAAGGCAGCGACTTTGACTGCGAATTAAGACTTCTCATTCACCAAAGCTTGGCAGGAGGAATTATTGGTGTCAAGGGTGCTAAAATTAAAGAACTTAGAGAGGTACTTGTTTCTTGTTCTTCTGAGGTTTGTTTTTTGTTCAACAAACTGCTTACTGGTTTGTGTTCATGAGGGGCAAGTGTAAGTATCTTCTGTGCAGTAATTCCTTCAGGACATACTGCGTGCATGATTTTGAGGTTCTGAGATGGATCTGTGAGTTGCAACTTTCTTGCAGACCCTCAGAAGTAAAGTTGATAGAGCCTATGACTTCTTAACAAGCTTCCAAGTAATATTTGTGGTAATTTTTATGTAAATTGCATTCACCACTCAGAATGAGCTACTACATAGACTAGATTTATTCATGTAGTTGGACGTGCAAAATGGGTGAATGCATCTCCACAAACATGATTATAATGAATGGATACCTGTATGTTACTGTAAAAGGGATTTATTTTTGGTGTTGTTTTTTAATTCTACCTCCTAGAAGACCATTGTTTCATTTCAGTGGATGAACGAGATTAAAAAAAGCTAATAGTCTCTATAAACTTAAAACACACCTCTGTCTTCTGCCCTTTCTTGACAGATGGCAGTTTCAGGTTTTGTGTAAGCTGATACATATTTGCATGAGTTGAGGAAAGCAAGATAACAGGGCATAATCCTAGCAACATTGCTGTTTTGCATCTAAAACTTGTGTTCTTGATGTGTGGAGGTTAATACAACCTGTAAACTTGCAAAGTCTGTGAGATCCTTTTGATAATATTTAATTAAATGATGGTGTAAACAAGCCATGGTTGGAAGAGGGGGGGAAGTGGTTCTGTTTTTCTGATTCATACAAAACTATGTCAGCACAGATCTTAAAACAAACAAACAAACAACCCACTGGAAAACCCAAACAATTTAAAATTATGGGTTTTGGTGAGAACTTGGAAGCAAGCATGCACTTAGACTGGCTGCAGATTTCATTGTCTTTTGGATTGTTTCTTTGCAATACTTCTGTTAGAAAATCATGGAATTTATTTTTTCCTTCAACAGAACACTCAGACTACCATTAAGCTCTTCCAAGAGTGTTGTCCTCACTCTACTGACAGAGTGGTGCTTATTGGTGGAAAACCTGATAGAGTTGTGGAATGTATCAAGATTATCTTGGATCTTATCTCTGAGGTAACGTTTATTAAATTTTCATTGCTATTTGTGAATGTTACGGATCGCTTTGAAAAACGTTATCTTTCAGTTTGTATTTTGAATTCAGTAACTTGCTTTTCCAGTACAAATTAGTTGTTAGAACCTTTTGAAACTCTTCCCATTTTCTAGAATTGGGCTGTACCTTTTGGGGGAGGAAAGCAGGTTTTGGTACTCGTAGGCCATTATTCATGCTTTGTAAGTCATTAAGGTGCAAAAAAAAGAGGGACAAAATTTATTTGCTATTGCAAAATAACACCAGTTTGTTTGTCGTAGTTAAGTTCACAAGAAACACATCATCTCCTCCTTTCTTACCCACATTACAAAATCAAGAGCATGTTCCAAATGCAAAAATGCGTATTTATAGATTTAGTATTTTTAATTAAATATGCCAGTTGCAATAGTCTTAATGGAGTTTGTGGGGGTTGTTCTTTGTTTTAGTCTCCAATTAAAGGACGCGCTCAGCCTTATGATCCTAATTTCTATGATGAAACATACGACTATGGTGGCTTCACAATGATGTTTGATGATAGAAGGGGACGTCCAGTAGGCTTTCCAATGCGTGGACGAGGAGGTTTTGATCGAATGCCCCCTGGTCGTGGTGGGCGACCAATGCCTCCATCGAGAAGAGATTACGATGATATGAGCCCTCGCAGAGGACCTCCGCCACCTCCACCAGGTCGTGGTGGCAGAGGTGGCAGCAGAGCTCGTAATCTTCCTCTTCCTCCTCCACCACCTCCTCGTGGCGGGTGAGTTGTTGCGTAAATATGTAATATACAAAACTTGTATTGTGTACAATCTTGAATCATGTTCAACTTCCCAGTGTGTTTTCCATGCAGTGCATATTAGACCAGAGTGTTTTGAAAAGTACTGGAATTCAATTATTTATTATACTGTAGTAACCTAACAGGACCAAAGTCTGTAGTTCTGAAACTTTCATGTCATTCAGTTCTGGGCTAGAGCAATTTGAAATTAAGTTATGTGTGAACCATAAATGTGAAAATGTAAATTAGAGTAGATAAACTATGTTACAATGCAATTCACATTCTGCTGCTTGTTTCATTTTAGAGATCTTATGTCTTATGACCGAAGAGGCAGACCGGGAGACCGCTATGATGGCATGGTATGAGTTTAAAATTTACATGTTCTGTTTCTTATTAAGAGTTAGCATGCTAGGTATCTGAAGATACTCTTCCTGAACACATGCACTTAGTTGTGGGATATGCATAGTTCTGGTTATAAATCCAAATTATTTTGTCCACACAAATGGTCCCTCCTTGGAGGAAATGTTTCGGGGTGTAAGTGGTACCTTGAGGCACAATCTGTTTTCCTTCTTTACTCCTTGCAATCAAAAATGATACAGAAAGTTTGACTGTGCTCTACCCTGCAGGTTTTCTTGCACTGACCACCTTTTAGATTTTTTTTTTTTAAATCAGGATGACACAGATAGGAATTCGTAGGCTTCTTGGATAAGGAAAACATACCAGAACAACATTCTCTAAAATTCTTAGATTCATACAAGCATTTCTAACACTGATGTTGGAAAACATGAGTATAGATGGAAAATATGGATTATAAAATAGTATCTGTGAAGACCCCTAGTTGTTCTGGAAGGTGATTGCTGTTTTGAATCAGTTATTGTCTATTAGCTCATTTCTCTGAAAAAAAATCCACTGTAATTCCAAATATTTTAGAGCTTGAGCCACTGCTTAGTTGAATTCTGAATTAAATTAGGTACATTCATTCATATTAATGCTAATACTTGTTGAGGGAAAAAAATCTCCCATAGTGTATAGAAGCTTAAAAAAAGGCTTAAAAATACTGTTCCATGTTGTATTCTGAAGTGTGACTTCCCAGCAGTCATTTGTTGTACTGGATTCCTTTTTCCTGGGAAACCAAATCACAGATATTTGGTAGATAAATCTCTGTAGTAACAATCTGGTTTTCTCCTCTGGGTTTGATTGGCACCTTCTTTAAAATGACAGATGAGACAAGATATTTTTATTTTCCTGTTCTTTTAAATGGATAGAAGAGAAGGGAGAGGAGAAGAGCAATGTAAAGGGCTAGCGAAGTGAGCTCTACACGTTTTCTTCCTAGGAGTAAAGAGTTACTGGAAGTATGCATTGCAAGAGTGTCACATGCTTACAAGAAATACTAAAAGGAAAGATTTGCACATGGGTGGGGAAAAAAAAAGTTTTACCCATGCTACTCTGCAAGTTAAGAAACTGGAAGAATTGAGAATTACACCTCACAAGATTCTGTATTTGTATTTCCCTGTTTTCAAAGCTCAATTTTTGTGTTACATTTGCAACTGATAAAACCAGTGCTGGACCATATAAACTGAGCAGCCTGCCCTTTTTTGGGTGTTGGGTTGAGCACAGTCTTACTTAGCTTGACTCTTCGGCAGTAGTATGTTCTACTTTTGTTCCATTTGAGCTGGAATAGAAGACGTATTTTGAATTCTACTTATCTTGGATTTTGTCAGGTTGACCTTTGCTTTTTTGATACAAGTTTATACAAGTAAGCAGAGTCATCTCTGTTCAGATTTCTTTGTTCCAAAAAGCAATTTTATTTCCTCACAGTGAAGCTTCTCATGGCTTTGGTTCCTTTGTAAGCAAACACCATAGCCTGCATAGTGAGGACTTCCCAACAAAGACTATATTTAATAGTTTCAATTAACCATGATCCTAGTATCCTAAAATGTGTAAGCAAATAGGAAGTCTTCATGTGGATTGTGAGGCTGGAGCTGGAAATGTCATGCCAGCAGTGCAGGGTCTTCTTACGCTACTCTTCATTTCATTTAGAAACCATTTCCTAGCCAAACATTTAAATGAGACTAAACCGATGTTGTTGTTTGTGAACTAAGTAATGCGTGGGAAAGGCTGCTCTCAGAGAGCAGAAGTGCTCCTTTGTGTAGATTCTGCTTTACATAGATGGAATAAAAGGCAAAGATAGATGCTTTTCTCTGATGAACATCCTCAAAATCATGGAAATGTTGGATGTGCAGAAATACCCTTTACAGTTCTCTTTCCACTAGAGGCAGAGATACTGTTTGGTTCAGGACCTTTAAAAAAATACTGAACTGAGAATTTTCTAGGATGCCAGAGATAGGATAGTATTGACAGCCTCTTAAATGCTGAGATAAGAAAACCCATTTTGATTTTAAAAGATAGGTTAATTCTCCTTGCCCACGCAGAGTTGCTGGAACATCTTCAATTAGATCAGGTTACTCGGAGCGAGCCCTGTCCAACCTGACTGTGAAGTTTCCAGGGATGGGGCCTCCACCACCTCTCTACTGAAACCTCCCCCATGAATGACCATTGATGCTGCAGGGCATGCACCAAGGAAGTCTCAAACTGGACTCAGCAGAAGACAGGACCTGGGTTCAGGAACTGGATTAAGGAACTCGCAGATTGGGACTGAGGGCTGAAGGGCAAACAGAATCCTCCTCAGACACCAGTCAAACAAGAAGAGGGCTTGACCTTTGTGATCCCTCCCCTTTATACTGAATATGACATATATTGAATGCAATATTTTGTTGTTCAGTTTTGGGTCACCTGTGCTGCCCAATCCCGCCTGCAGATGCAAGCTTTTATGTAGAATGACAGAATGGTTTGAGTTGGAAGGGACCTTTAAAGGTCATCTAGTCCAACTCCCCTGCAGTGAGCAGGGACATCTTCAATTAGAGCAAGCTGCTCAGAGCCCAGTCCAATGTGACCATGAATGTTTCCAGGGACAGGTCTTCTACCCCCTCTCCGGACAACCTCTTCCAGTGTTTCAACAGACTGACTGTAAAAACGATCTTACTTGTATTTAAATCTATCCTTTTTTAGTTTAAAACCATTATCCCCTCTTTTAGTTGAGAATCCTTGTCCTGTCACAACAGGCCCTGCTACCTGCTAAAAAGATTGTGCCCATCTTTCTTATCTGTTCTGTCCCTTACAGGCTCTGCTAGGAAGTCTGCCACCACCTTTCTTACAAGCCCCCTTTAAGTATTGAAAGGCTTCAATGAGGTCTTCCCAGAGGGCCCCTGTTAGATATTGAAAGGCTTCAATGAGGTCTTCCCAGAGCCGTCTTTTCTGCTGGCGGAAAAAACCCCAACTCTCACAGCCTTTCTACACAGGAGAGGTGTTCCAGCCCTCCAACCATTTTTGTGACCCTCCTCTGGACCTGCTCCCCACCACTCTCAGCCTTTCTACATGTCAGAGGGCTGGAACACCTCTCCTCATTTTTGTGACCCTCTGGACCCGCTCGAACAGGTTCGTGTCTTTCCTGTGCTGAGGACCCCAGAGCTGGGTGTTGAATAGACAACCCCAGTACTGCAGGTGGGGTCTCACTAGAGCAGAGTAGAGGGGCAGAACCACCTCCCTCGACCTGCTGGCCGTGCTTCTTTTGATGCAGCCCAGAATAAGGTTGGCTTTCTGGGCAGTCAGCACACACTGTTGGCTTGTGTCCAGCTTTTCATCACCCAGTGTCCCCAAGTCCTTCTCTGCAGGGCTACTCGCAGTCCCTTCACCCCCCAGCCTGTGTTGATACTGGGCATTGTCCTGGCCCAGGTGCAGGCCCTTACACTTGGCCTTGT